CTTTTTTGTAATATCTGCCAAATATTTTTTTGTAATTCTAATCTTTTATCATCATAAGTTGTTTTCTTAGAACAAATATTTCTCTCTGAACCTTTTTCTTGTCTTTTTAAATTTTTCTATTTGTTTTATGATTTTCTTTGTTCTATCATTCAGATCTTTTATTTTTTTTTCTGTCAATGAACAATCTGTCCAATTAATAGATTGAATTGGAATGGTGGATTCGTAAATAATTTGATTCCTCTTACTTTTACTTTTTGTTGAATCTTTTTGAATTTCATTCAATTCATATATTTTTCTCAATCCAAATATAAATAAAAGATTTGATAATGATAGTTTTTTATTTTTTCTTTTAGAAATAGAATCCTTTTGCGAATACTTTGGATGATCCGTTGTGCTGTTTCTTTTGCTATATTTAGAAAAAATTTTGTTCTTTCGTTTAAGACTTTTAGAACTAGAAAAAAATTCTTTTTCCAAATTTTATTTTTTTTTAAGTTCTTTAAAAATGGGATCAAAAAACGAACGTCGGTTTCGGGGAGAAGAAGAAAAGGGCAATTCTACTTCCATTCCGAAAACTGTTAAAAAGAAGAAATCCATTTTTTTCACTTTTTTTTTCATTGGATCCTTTTCCTTTTGAGGGGATCGTAGCTTAGATCTGTATCTGTGCCAAGGTTTCAGACGAAAAGGAAAAAGGACCTTTATTTGAATACCCTCAGTTAGCCAGTTTTTCGGAAATTCTGTTTCGGATAATTGAACGCCATTATAGGTGCATTTAATATACATTTCTATTCCAATCCTTTAAATCCTCTGACCATTCGGGAGATTGAAATAATAGTATACGAACGATATTTTTAGTTATTATCAATGAGGGTAATAGAATATATTTTCTAATAATCGATTGGGTTACTAATAAAAAACCTCTTATTACTTGAGCATATATAATGCTATCCCAGGCTTCGGCTATTTCTATACGCCTTTCTTCCTCTTTTTTCTTAATCTTTTGTCTTTTCCTCTGTAGAATCCGAAATTTTCAATTCTGTATTTTTATTTTTCCACATCCAATTTAGAAAAAGGATTTTCATTGGCTCGAAAATATCAAAAGAAAAGAAAGAGGGTTTGTCAATTTTGTCCAAAAAAAGAGGAGAATGTGCGCTTGCTTGAAAGATTTTCCAATTAACAGTTTTACGTCTTTGAGCGCGTCTAGATCCTTTGATTATGTCTCGCCGAAAATCCGGTTGTTGTGAATAACGTATTAAAGCTAATTCATCTTTTTCATCAGAATTATCAGTATCCTTGGTATCCGTATAAGCATTGGCATTCTCTGAGTCATCAGTAAAAATTACGACACGTTTGGCTTTTCTTGAACGAATCTCATAATCCGCTGTTTCACCGGATGTTTCCAGGTGTCTACCTCGTCAATTAATTTGTATGACCATCGAGGAACTTTTTTACTGCTTTCTTTATTCCAATACATTTTTTTCTATTTATAATTGTTTTATCGTTCGCATCAGTTAGAATTGCGTCGAATAAAAACTTCATTTTTTTTTTTTAGCTTCGGAATCCATCTTTTCATGTTCTCGAAATAAACAAAGTCCTTTAAAATTGAAATTGGATACTGATTTTCCAGAAAATTGACTGATCAAGTTAAAAAAAAAACGAATTTCATTGATAATGATTTTTTATCAAATCTATCTATTTTCTGTTCAAAGCCTGGATAATCAGTATTAATATTAAGAAGGATGGCGTGAATCTTATTTATCCAAATGTAGTTTTTTGGGTAAGTTTTATTCTTGATTGAGAATAAAAAACTTTTTTTGATTCGTCCGCGATAGGGTCCGTTCAAGAAAGGATCATATATTTAGGTAAGTATTTTTTTTAGTCTCATCATTACATAATCTACTCTTTTTTTCGAGTACATCCAAAGCAAAAAATTCCTTATCTAGAGCTTCGGCCCTATTTAGAAATTGATTCCTTAGGTTGTTTCTTTTTTGTTCATTAATAGAACTCCAACGATTATCCAATTCATCATAGGAGAGTTTTTCTGTTGTGAAGAGAGACGTCTTCTTTGCATCATTTCAAGAAAAGTTGATAAACTAGATGGATACGTAAAAGATATTTTTTCTTTTGCATCACTTTGACATGTATGAAAAAAGAATTGTGACATCTCATTTCTTACAGCATTTTCAAATTGATCATTTTTGATATATCGCAAAGGACGATGGAATCGTTTATAATCGAAAATAATCCTTAGAAGAGGTTTTTCCAACCGAAAGATATCTTTCTCCTCTCTTTCATCGATTTGTACGAATTCTCTCTTCCTTCGAAAAAAGAGAAGCAGAAAGATATTCTGCGTTGGATTTTTTTTGTTCTTGTTTAGTTACTTTCGTTTTGGAAGTTCTTTCTACACCTATTTTTTTTTGTTATCAATTTCACCTCTTTCTTGAATTTCTGATATTTTTATTTTTAATAAAAATAGGCAGCGGTGTTCTCCCTAAATAGTATATTGAGGAAATAAAAAAAAAATAATAAAGATTC